GATCTTGCTCCTCTAGCTCTTTCAATTTTGACGATAGGGTGTCAATTTTTGATCTCTCCTTGCTTCTCATGTGGGCACTTAATGCTATATATTTTCCTCTAGAGATTGCTTTAAATGTGTCCCAGAGATTCTGGTATGTTGTGTCTTCATTCTCGTTGGTTTCGAAGAACATCTTTATTTCTGCCTTCATTTCATTGTTTATCCAGTCAACATTCAAGAGCAAGTTGTTCAGTTTCCATGAAGCTGTGCGGTTCTGGGTTAGGGTTTCAATTCTGAGTTCTAACTTGATTGCACTGTGGTCTGACAGACTGTTTGTTATGATTTCCGTTCTTTTGCATTTGCTGAGGAGTGATTTACTCCCAATTATGTGGTCAATTTTAGAGTAGGTGTGATGCGGTGCTGAGAAGAATGTATATTCTGTCGATTTGGGTTGGAGAGTTCTGTAAATGTCTATTAGGTTTGCTTGGTCCAGGTCTGAGTTCAGGTCCTGGATATCCTTGTTAATTTTCTATCTTGTTGATCTGTCTAATATTGACAATGGGGTGTTAAAGTCTCCCACTATAATTGTGTAGGAGTCTAAGTCTCTTTGTAAGCTATTAAGAACTTGCCTTATGTATCTGGGTGCTCCTGTATTGGGTGCGTATATATTTAGGATCGTTAGCTCTTCTTGTTGCATTGATCCTTTTACCATTATGTAATGTCCTTCTTTGTCTCTTTTGATCTTTGTTGCTTTAAAGTCTAATTTATCAGAGATGAGAATTGCAACTCCTGCTTTTTTTTGTTCTCCATTTGCTTGGTAGATCTTCCTCTATCCCTTTATTTTGAGCCTTTGTGTATCCTTGCATGTGAGATGGGTTTCCTGGATACAGCACACCGATGGGTTTTGGCTTTTTATCCATTTTGCCAGCCTGTGTCTTTTGATTGGGGCATTTAGTCCATTTACATTTAGGGTTAATATTGTTATGTGTGAATTTGATACTGTCATTTTGGTGCTAGCTGGCTGTTTTGCCCATTAGTTGATGCAGATTCTTGATTGTGTTCATGCTGTTTACCATTTGGCATGTTTTTGGAGTGGCTGGTAGTGGTTGTTCCTTTATATGTGTAGAGCCTCTTTTAGGAGCTCTTGTAAACCAGGCCTAGTGGTGATGAAATCTCTGAGTACTTGCTTGTTCACAAAGGATTTTATTTTTCCTTCACTTATGAAGCTCAGTTTGGCTGGATAGGAGATTCTGGGTTGAAAGTTCTTTTCTTTAAGGATGTTGAATATTGGCCCCCACTCTCTTCTGGCTTATAGGGTTTCTGCTGAGAGATCTGCCATAAGTCTGATGGGCTTCCCTTTGTGGGTAACCGGACCTTTCTCTCTGGCTGCCCTTAGCATTTTCTCCTTCATTTCAACCCTGTTGAATCTGACGATTATGTGCTTTGGGGTTGCTCTTCTCGAGGAATATCTTTGTGGTGTTCTCTGTATTTCCTGGAATTGAATATTGGCCTGCCTTGCTAGGTTGGGGAAGTTTTCCTGGATAATATCCTGAAGAGTATTTTCCAGCTTGGATTCATTCTGTTCGCTGCATTCAGGTACACCTGTCAAACGTAGATTAGGTCTTTTCACATAGTCCCACATTTCTTAGAGAATTTGTTCATTCCTTTTTACCCTTTTTTCTCTATTCTTGCCTTCCCGTTTTATTTCATTGAGTTGATCTTCAGCCTCTGATATCCTTTCTTCTGCTTGGTCAATTCGGCTGTTGAAACTTGGCCATGCTTCGCGAAGTTCTCGTGTTGTGTTTTTCAGCTCCATCAATTCCCTTATATTCCTTTCTATTTTGTCCATTCTCCTTAGCATTTTGTCAAATCTTTTTTCAAGGTTCTTAGTTTCTTTGCATTGGGTTAGATCATGTTCTTTTAGTTCACAGAAGTTTCTTACTACCCACCTTCTGAAGTCTGATTCTGTCGTTTCATCACAGTTGTTCTCCTTCCTACCTTGTTCCCTTGCTGGTGAGGAGTTGTGATCCCTTGTACGAGGAGAGGTGTTCTGGTTTCGGGTGTTTTCATCCTTTTTGCGCTGGTTTCTTCCCATCTTTATGGATTTATCCACCTGTTGTCTTTGTAGTTGCTGGCTTTCAGATTGGGTCTCTGAGTGGACATTCTGTTTGTCGATGATGAGGTTATTTCTGTTTCTTAGTTTCCCTTCTAACAGTCTAGCCCCTCTGCTGTAGGTCTGCTGAGGTACACTCCAGGCCCTGCCTGCCTGGGGATCACCTGCAGCAACTGCAGAACAGTAAGGGTTGCTACCAGTTTTCTTCTTCTGCTATCTTTGTCCCAGAAGGATACCTGCCAAATGTCAGTCTGATCTCTCCTTTATGAGGTGGCTCTTTGGATATGCAGGGTTCAGGGAGCTGCTTGAGGAGACAGTCTGTTCTTTATAGGAGCTCAAATGCTCAGCTGTGAGCTCCGTTGTTCATTCAGAGCTGCTGGGCAGGTAGGTTTAGGTCTGCTGCAGCAGAACTCATAAACCGCTTTTTGTTCCCAGGTGCTCTGTCCCAGGGAGTTGGGGCTTTATTTATTAGTTTCTGTTGTGCTGCTGCCTTCTTTTTTTTTTTCCTTCAGAGCTTCCCTGCCCAGCGAGGAGGCAGCCTAGTCACTGTCTGCCTGTAGAGGCTTTGCTGAGCTGCTGTGGGCTCCGCCCAGCTACCCAGTGAACTTCCCTGCAGTCCTGTTTATATGGGTGTTGTTAGAACTGCCTGGGCAGTGGTGGCCCACCTCTGTCATGGCGGACTCTTTCTGTACTGGCGGGTTGCCTTGGCAAAGGCGGGCTGCCTCAGCGTTGGCTGACTATCTCCCTAGTGGTGAAGTGTCTCAGTAATGGCGGATGCTCCTACCCGACAGAGCTGGACCATCCCGGGTTCAGCTGTGCTTGCTGTGAAACTCTCAATCTAGAGAGTTTCTGATTGCTGTTCTTTTGTCGGTGTGGGACCAGCCGAACCTGATTGCCTGGCTCCCTGCCTGAGAGCCTTTTTTTTTTAGTTGGTGTTCCAGTCGCCTGTTGAAGAGGTGCCGGGATCTGTGTGTTTTCCCGTGTGGCCACTCAGTGCGCTGGCTTAAATAGCGGCACTGAGATTCGTGGCACTTTTTTTTGCCCTGGAATCTACTGTCCTGGTTCCCTTTTCAGTCCCCTTTTTAAACATATGATTGGGTGACTTCCCATGGCTCTAGTCGCCAGCCAAAAGGGCACCCGGACCAGTGTATTTTGTACGGAGAACCGCTGTGCCGGCGCGCTGATAAAGCAGTCGCGCGGGGCAAAGCAGCGGCGCTGGCCGACACAGCCGCGCTGGCCGAAACAGCCGCACTGGCGACCTGTGGGGCTTCTCCGCCTGGAAATCTCCTAGTCTGTGGGCAATAAAAATGCGGCGTCCACTCACCCTCTGCACTTCCACTGGGAGCTGCAATCCTGAGCGGTTCCTAAACGGCCATCTTGGATCGATCTCCCAGAACATATAATTTTCTATGGAAAATGTGATTAGAGAAAAGACCTGAGCTTATACAAGCATTTCCATGTTTATTAACTTGGGAATTAGAGAAAATCTCAGATAAATTTCTTAATGTCTAGCAAAAAAACTGGTCTTTTTGCTTTCATTTTGATTCCTTATGTCCATTAGTCATACAGTTGCAAGATGTGCTTTTTAAAATATAAACCTGTCTTCTCTCTTACTTGAATAAGTTACATAATCTCAGCCTCAGCTCTCATCTAGAAAATAGGGAGAGGTATATGGGATTATTCAGAAGAGTAAATTTGAAAAATATAAGTAAAATATTTTATACATTGTTGAGCTCCTTAGGTGTTTAATAGGGGTTATGTAATAATTATGTATAAGGCAAACCCCTTACTGTGACAAATAAGGTTCTTTATTATGCTGTCTATACTGCCTTATTTTCAGTACCCCTATCTTATGTTCCACTTGTAAAACCAGTTAATATTTCCCACTTGGCATTTGCCCTGTGATTTCCAGTTCTCCAGTTTGACCTCTCTCTGCTTGTACCTTAATACTGCTTGTTCTCTCTGTTCTCACGGAATCATTCATAGATGTGTATTATAGCATTTCCTACCATATTGCAGTTATCTCTTTTCTTGTTAGTTTCCGTTACTACTCTATGAGATTGTTCAGGGTAGATTTGATGTATTTTTATTTTTGTCTTCTTGTTCCTGGTAACTGTAGACATGTAATTGAATGGTTGGTAAATATTTGTTTAATTGAATGCATGAATGAGTGAACAGATGAATGAAAAGGAGTGGGGAGTAGTTATTAAGGGAAAGGATTTTGGGGCCTGTGTTTATCTCCCAGCTCTGGATTTTACTCTCTTTGTGACCGTCAGTGTGTTACTTAATTTTTTTGTGTCTTCTTTTCTCCACATATGAAATGGGACTAACAGTAGTATTTACTTTGCAGGGTTATAGTGAGGATTTAGATAAGTTAATATGTGTCTAAAGCCCTTAAAATAGTACATGACTCATAGTAAGCTCTATTTAGGTGTTAGCTGCTGGTAATATTTTTATTTTCCTGATGATTCAGAACCCATAGCATCTTTTTTTTTTTTTTTTTGGATTGAATTTTGCTCTTGTTGCCCAGGCTGGAGTGTAGTGGCGCGATCTAAGCTCACCACCACCTCTGCCTCCTGGTTCAAGCGATTCTCCTCCCTCAGCCTCCCGAGTAGCTGGGATTACAGGCATGTGCCACAACCCCTGGCTAATTTTGTATTTTTAGTAGAGACAGAGCTTCTCCATGTTGATCAGGCTGGTCTTGAACTCCCGACTTCAGGTGATCCACCGGCCTCAGCCTCCCAAAGTGTTGGGATTATAGGCATGAGCCACTGCGCCCAGCCCAGAACCCATAGCATCTTTACCGTGATGAATAATATTATCTTTATGTACTGCAAACTTTGAATTTTAAGATAATGTTCAAATCATAAACATTGTTTTATATGATCTGGATTCTTTCTTTTTATAGGGCTCTATGGAGCAAGTCAGTTCTCATTTCTTGGAGCAGACCCTTGACAAGAAGCTGATGTCAGATCTGAGGGTACCTTCTATACTTTGTTGTTTAAACTGGGTTTCTGTAACCAATATGGAGTATGCTGAGTTGTGTTGATTTAATTTGGCAACATTTGTTAAATTAATGTGTGATAACTATATTACATTTTAATTTAAAATCTTAGTAAATTGAACCAAATAACAAGTGACTTCATTAAATTTTGTGTTACTGTAATGAAATACTTTGCCCAGGTTATACTTTACAAAAAAGAGGCAAGATTAATTTTCTAAGCCAGGCACAGTGACTCACACCTGTAATCCCAGCACTTTGGGAGGCTGAGGCAGGCAGATCACCTGAGGTTAAGAGTTCAAGAGAAGTGTGACCAACATGGTGAAACCCCATTTCAACTAAAAATACAAAAGTTAGCTGGATGTGGTGGCCCGTGCCTCTAGTCCCAGCTGCTTGGGTGGTTGAGGCAAAGAATTGCTTGAGCACTGGAGGCCAGAGGTGCAGTGAGCCAAGATCGTACCACTGCACCCCAGCCTGGGCAACAGAGTGGAACTCTGTCTCAAAAGCTAAACAAACAAACAAACAAAAAACCCTAGGAAACTCAAAAGATTAATTTTCTATTTGTTAGGAACTACAAAGACCTATTCTCATTTTGTGAGATGGTATGACATTTTTGGACTTCTTTTTAGCAGCAGTTCCCATGAAAGACTGAATAAAGCCCTTCTCCAAATAGTAACAAAATGCCCTCTACTCCCAGCCTTTTTTCTTCCTTTTTTTTTTTTTTTGGAAACAGGGTCACAACTGTACTGCCCAGGCCGGAATTCAGTGGCACAGTCATAGCTCACTGCAGCTTTGATCTCCTGGGTTCAAGCATTCCTCCCACCTCATCCTTCCTGAGTAGTTGGGACTACAGGCATGCCCCACCGTGGCCAGCTAATTTTTTTTATTTTTAGTAGAGATGAGGTCTTGCTGTGTTGCCCATGCTGGTCTTGAACTCCTGAGCCCAGGCAATACTCCTGCCTCTGCCTCCCAATGTGTTGGGATTATAGATATGAACCATTGTACCGGACCCCAAATGCCTCTTAGGAAATGCCCTTAAGCCTTGATTGTGATGGTTCACTAACCTGGTTAGCAGAACCAGATTTGAGTCTGAGAAAATAATATGTACATTCATTGTCAGTACCTCAATTTTGAAATGATAAAAGTGATATTATAGAGTTGTAGAATTTTTGATAAGGGAAAGGAAAACAATTTACCCATATGTTTACTACCCTAATATAATGACTTTGGTCATTTTGGTATGTGTCTCTCAGCTCTTTCTCTTGTGCATGTTTTTTTTTTTTTTAAGTTTAGTTTTGTTTTGTTTTGTTTGAGACAGAGTCTTGCTCTGTCGCCCAGGCTGGAGTGCAGTGGCGTGATCTTGGTTCACTGCAACATCTGCCTCTTGGGCTTGAGTGATCGTCTCACCTTGTCCTCCTGAGTAGCTAGGATTACAGGTGTGTACCACCACACTCTGCTAATTTTTTGTAGTTTTTGTAGAGATGGGGTTTCATGAGAGGCTGATATATAAAGCAGAGTGCCAGGTCATTCATTTGTGATGAGAAACATAATTGTCAAGTAGACTGGATATTTACTTTTCACCAACCAGTATATTCTACCTTAGGCAATCTTTGTGTAAAGTGAGTTTACTAGATTATTTAGTGACTGTACTGTAGCTAAAATAGAATGCAATGTTGCCAAATAGAAAAATACTTTTACTGGGATTGAAGATAATTGTTTTTGTTTTTTATTTTGTTTTTTTGAGATGGAGTCTTACTGTGTCGCTCAGGCTGGAGTGCAGTGCCGTAATCTCAGCTCACTGCAACCTCTGCTGCCTAGGTTCAAGCAATTCTCCTGCCTCAGCCTCCCGAGTAGCAGGGATTACAGGTGCCTGCCACCATGCCCAGCTAATTTTTGTATTTTTAGGAGAGATGGGGTTTCACCATCTTGGCCAGGCTGGTCTTGAACGTCTGATCTCGTGAGCCACCATGCCCAGCTGAAGATAACTGTTTTCTTAGAGTCAATGTATTGTCTACCCAAGATGGTGTTTGGAAGGGCACTGCCATTATTTGTCTGTCTGGCTATCTCTTTCCTATGTTGCTGCCGCAGCAAACATAACCCATTTTTTTTTTAACACATTCTTTAGCTATCTTTATTCTCTTTAATTAGGTACTTTTGGCTATTAAAGACCAGCTAGCCTTTGGTTACATTGTTAAGTTGAATATGCGTTTCTCTTGTATGAACTATTGATAATTTTTAAAAATGAAACTCATAGAGCAGTTTTGTTTTCTGCCTTCCCATGTTCTCAGGGTGCATCTTAGTGTTCCTTCATGAACCTCCTGTAATTGGTAATTGTTGTTGTCCTCTGCAGAGGAAACGTACTGCACATGAGCGTGCCAAGGAACTTTACAGTTCAGGGGAGTTTTCCAGTGGCAGGAAGTGGGGAGATGATGCTCCCAAGGAAGAAGTAGATACTGGGGCTGTGAACTTGATTGAGTCGGGAGCTTGTGGAGCTTTTGTTCATGGGTTGGAAGATGAGATGTATGGTAAGTATGACTGTATAATAGCAATAGCACTCTTTTATTGAGTGACTGCTATGTCTCAGGCGTTTTACTGTGTAATATACTTGTATTGTTTCATTTAGTTTACACACTAACTCTGGGAAGTACTTACTATGATTTTTATTTTACAAACAGAAGAGGCTGAGATCCAGGTAGTATGAGACAGTGGTTAAGAGCAAAGGATTTGGGTTTAGTCAATCTGTATTTAAATTCCAGCATTTTTATAAAACAGGGATGATAATAACTATCTTTCTGAGTTGTGAGAATTAAATGAGGTTCTATGTATAAAAAGCACTTGGTATAATACATCACCTATTTATAATAAGCTCTTAATAATTGGTAATTAAAATTGATTTTAATAACAATAATAACATGATGTCACTCACCTAGCTAGGAAGAGACAGAGGCAAGATTTAAACCTAGGTATGTCTGACTCCAAAGCCATTATGTGATTGATGAATATTTTATTTCACCTTCATTTTTGAAAGATATTTTGGGCCAGGCATGGTGGCTTACACCCGTAATCCCAGCACTTTGGGAAGCTGAGGCTGGAGGATCACTTGAGGCCAGGAGTTCAAGACCAGCCTGGTCAACAACATGGTGAAACACTGTCTCTACTAAAAATACAAAAAATAGCTGTGTATGGTGGCATGCACCAGTAATCTCAGCTACTAGAGAGTCTCAGATACAAGAATCACTTGAACCCAGGAGTCAGAGGTTGCAGTGAGTACTGGGATTGCACCAACGCACTCCGGCCTGGGCAAGCAACAGAGTGAAACTCTGTCTCAAAAAAAATCAGTAAAATAAATATAGAAAGATATTTTTGTGGGAATGAAATTCTAGATTAATAAGGTTTTTTTCCCCAAGAGTTTTATTTTCTGAGACAAGGTCTCACTCTGTCACCTAGGCTGGAGTGCAGGTGTGATCACAGCTCGCTGAAGCCTTGACTTCCTGGGCCTAAGCAGTCCTCCCACCTCAGCCTCGTGAGTAGCTGGAACCACAAGAACGTGCCACCATGCTTGGCCAATTTTTTAATTTTTTGTAGAGATAGGGCTTCACTATATTGCACAAGATAGTCTTGAACTCCTGGGTTCAAATGATACTTTTGCCTTGGCCTCTTGAAATGTTGGGATTGCAGTCATGAGCCACTGTGCGTGGCCTCTACCAGCTTTTAAAGATATTGCTCCACAGTTTTCTATGTTGAGAAATCAGCTGGCATTTTTATCTTCCTCTGTATATAATGTGTCTTTATCACAAGGTGCTTTTAAGATTTTGCTTTATCACTGGTTTTAAGCAATTTGATTATGATATGCCTGGGTATAGTTCATGTGATATTTCTTTTGCTTGGAGTTTGTTGAGCTTCTTGAATCAGTGGTTTATGGTTTTCATCACAGTTGGAAACTTTTTTTTTTTTTTTTTTTGCTATTATTCCCTTCTTTCTCTTTTTTTTTTTTGTGGGAGTGGGGGGACAGAGTTTCAACCAGGCTGGAGTGCAGTGGCATGATCTCGGCTTACTGCAACCCCTGCCTCCTGAGTTCAGGCAATTCTCATGCTTCAGGCTCCTGAGTAGCTGGGACTGCAGGCGCTCACCACCACCCCCAGCTAATGTTTGTATTTTTAGTAGAGATGGGATTTTGCCATGTTGCCCATGCTGGTCTCAAACTCCTGAGCTCAACTTATCTGCTGCCCACGTCAGCCTCCCAAAGTGTTTGGATTACAGGTGTGAGCCACCTCACCTGGCCACTATTATTTCTTTAAATATTTCTCTGGCTCTGTGGCCCTTTGGCAACTTTAATTACACATGCATTAGGAAACTGACATTGTCTTATAGCTCACTGATCTTCTTTCTTTTTTTTCCCCCCAGTTTTTATTTTCTCTTTGTGTTTGATTTTATATACTATCTATTGCCTTGTCTTTGAATTCTTTAAGATATAATCTGATGTTAATCCCATCCAGTATATTTTTCATTTCAGGCATACAGTTTTTGTCTCTAGAAGTTTGATTTGAATTTGGGTTTTTTCCATCCTGGACCACATAAGGAGACCCTATCTCCACAAAAAATTTAAAATTAGCCAGTCGTGTTTATGCACACCTATAGTCCCAGCTACTTGGGAGGCTGAGGCAGGAGGATTGCTTAAACCCAGGAGTTAGAGGTTGCAGGGAGCCATGATCACACAAGTGCACTCTAGCTTAGGTGACAGAGCAAGACCCTGTCTCAAAAACAGGAAGAAAGAATTTGGGTCTTTTTAGTGTCTAGCATGTCTTTCTTAACATACTTAATCTTTTGTCTAGCTTTGTCAACAGATATGTTTATAATAACTGTCTTACTTCCTTGTTTACTAGGTCTATTTCTGTGATTCCTAGGTTGGTTTTGATAGATATTTTTTCCTCTTCTATTATATTATCCTATGTATTTTCCTGTCTAGTAATTTTTAATTGGATTCCAGACATTGTAGATTTTACTTTATTGGATACTGAACATTATTTTATTCCTATAAATACTTTTGAGCTTTGTTCTGGGGTCCATTTTTTCAGGTCTTATTTTTAAACTTTGTTAAACAGGATTAGAGTAGCATTTAGCCTATGGCTTACTTTTCTCTACCACTGAAGCAAAAACCTCTTGTTTTTCACTACTTGAAGCAAAACCTCTCTTTTTTCTTTTCTTTCTTTATTTCTTTTTTTTTTTTTTTTTGAAATGGAGTTTCGCTCTTGTTACCCAGGCTGGAGTGCAATGGCACGATCTCGGCTCACCGCAACCTCCGCCTCCTGGGTTCAGGCAATTCTCCTGCCTCAGCCTCCTGAGTAGCTGGGATTACAGGCACGCGTCACCATGCCCAGCTAATTTTTTGTATTTTTAGTAGAGACGGGGTTTCACCATGTTGACCAGGATGGTCTCGATCTCTTGACCTCGTGATCCACCCGCCTCGGCCTCCCAAAGTGCCGGGATTACAGGCTTGAGCCACCGCGCCCGGCCTCTTTTTTTTTTTTTTTTTTTTTTTTTTGAGGCAAGGTCTTGCTCTGTCGCCCAGGTTGGAGTGCCATGGTGCAATCACGGCTCACTGCAGCCTTGACCTCTTGGGCTCAAGTGACCCTCCCACCTCAGCTTCCTGAGTAACACAGGACCACAGGTGTGCACTACCACACCTGGCTAATTTTTATATTTTTTGTAGAGACAGGGTTTTGCCATTTGCGCAGGCTGGGCTTGAACTCCTGGCCTCAAGCAATCCAGCCACCTTGGCCTCCCAAAGTTTTGAGATTGCAGGCATGGACCATCACACCTGGTTGCAAAATTCTTCTAAGTAAACTGTGGTTTTATAGGCCCTGTGTGAGTTCCGGAGATTATTTCTTCTCATTTTTTTGGGTGGTTTTTTTCCCAGGACTCAGATGGTCTCTATCTCACAGATCAGAACTCAGCTGAAGACTTGAGGTGACCATCTGCAGATCTCCCAAGCTTTCTGTCTCTCTGTGTAGTTCTCTCCTTTTCAGTAATTTGCCCTATGAACTCAGACTACATTGGCCTTCCCAAACTCACAGCTCAGTCTTCTCAACTCAGGGAGAGAGGACCTAGTGCCTGGAGTCTCTCTAAACTAAATTGCTATAATCATTGAGATCACCTCATTTTCTTTTCCCATTCAGGGGTTGCAATCCTTTATTGCCAGATGCCCAGTGTCTGGAATGCTGTTGTTTCATATTATTTTGTCTCTGTCTCATCCTTGGAGGGTAAAGCTGGTCCTCATTACTCTATCTTGTAATACACATCCCATAAAGCCCTTGTGATTCCCATATGCTATCTGTCTAACACAGATCCCAGAATTTCACTGCTTTGATATGATTGACTCGTCTGTTCATTATCAGCAAGTGTAACAGACCTAGCGAGATAATGTTAATTGTCCAAATTTACAGTAAATTTGTGCCAGAGACCTGTGCCAGGTCTTAAAAATGTCTATAAAAACATACCTCAGGATAGAAAATACTTCTTAGAAGGACAAGAATATTAATTTTGAAAGACAGTTTTTCATCTGTAGTTATAAAAATTGGGCTAGCCTATCATTTGTTCTAAAATGTTCCATATATAGAAACTAAATAAAGCTACCTCTGCTTTTTGATTCTCTATGAACTTAAAATATGAATTGCAAACCTATTTTACCCTAAAATGAATAACTGAAACCTATTTTGTTCCTATTAGCATTTTTGCTTTGTTTAGTTTCTGCAACTGAATTTCATCACTTTTAACATTTATATGATTTACTTATACAGTTTTCAGTTTGCCATTAAGATTTTTTTTTTTTATACTGGGCATAGCATTAAAAGCTTTATTTTCTGTAAGCTGGTAAACCAATCCCTTAAGAAAGTTTGGTTTTGACATGAAGACCATTTTTAAGGAAGCCTATTGTAAAAATTTTCTTTTTATCACAGCTAGCCTAATCACACACAAAATTTCATAAATCCCCCTTTACAAACCCTGTTGTGACTTACACAGACCATCTACAATATGCTTTCACACTCTTGTCCTATACTACCTCTTTCTTACATAACTGGTACTTTTACCCTAGGGCAATAATTTACCACACAATATTCTTTTTTTTTTTTTTTTTTTTGAGACGGAGTTTCACTCTTGCTACCCAGGCTGGAGTGCAATGGCGCGATCTTGACTCACCGCAACCTCCGCCTCCTGGGTTCAGGCAATTCTCCTGCGTCAGCCTCCTGAGTAGCTGGGATTACAGGCACGCGCCACCATGCCCAGCTAATGTTTTTTGCATTTTTAGTAGAGACAGGGTTTTACCATGTTGACCAGGGTGGTCTCGATCTCTTGACCTCATGATCCACCCGCCCCGGCCTCCCAAAGTGCTGGGATTACAGGCTTGAGCCACCGCGCCCGGCCGCACACAATATTCTTTTTAAACAAAATTACGTTTTCGGTTATTTATTTTTGAGACAGAGTTTTACTCTTGTCACCCTGGCTGGAGCGCAATGGTGCAATCCCAGCTCACTGCAACCTCCACATCCTGGGTTCATGCAATTCTCCTGCCTCAGCCTCCCAAGTAGCTGGGATTACAGGTGCCAGCCACCATGCCCAGTGAAAGGCAGAAGGAGTGTATTTTTTTTCTTTCTCACTAGAGAAATGGTTAGGACATTATTATTGTCTATAGCACTTTTTATTTTATTATTATTTTTTTTAAAGACAAAGTCTCTCTGTCACCCAGGCTGGAGTGCAATGGCATGGTCTAGGCTCACTGCAACCTGCCCCTTCCAGGTTCAAGCCATTCTCCTGCTCCAGCCTCTCGAGTAGATGGGATTACATACATATACCACCACACCCGGCTAATTTTTTCTTTTTTTTTTTTTTTGTATTTTTAGTAGAGACAGAGTTTTGCCATGTTGGCCAGGCTGGTCTTCAACTCCTGACTTCAGGTGATCTGCCTACCTTGGCTTCCCAAAGTGCAGGGATTACAGGCGTGAGCCACCACACCTGGCCAGTAGCATCTTTTCTTGTAGTAGGCACACCGATTCTGTCCCTGGGGCCAGAAAATCAGGGGCTCTTGTCTGTGTATCCTAGATGCTGATCACACAACACTTTCTCAGGTTGGGCAATTCTTATGTGGTGGGGGCTTAAAGCGACTGTTAATAGTTTTTTTTTTTTTTTTTTTTTTTTTTTTAAGACGAGGTTTCACCATGTTGGTCAGGCTGGTCTTGAACTCCCGACCTCAGGTGATCCGCCCGCCTTGGCCTCCAAAGTGTTTGGATTACAGGCGTGAGCCACCGCGCCTGGCCACCATTAAGACTTTTTAAATAAATTTTTTTATTTTTAATTTTTGTTGGTACATACTAGACATATATATTTAAGGGGTACATGAGATGTTTTGATAGAGGCATGGAATATGAAATAATCACATCATCTAGAATAGGATATCTATTTCCTTAATGATTTATCCTCTGTGTTACAAATGTTATTAAGATGTAATCAAATTAAGTTTGAAAAATGAGTAGGCCATAACCAGTTATCAGCTATGACAGCTTTCTAATTTTATCACATTGATAAAATTCTGGGTAAATTTGGGTTTTAGGGCCACATTGCTGGGAATGAAATGGAACCTTATTTCACTGGCTGTTTAGTCTAGTGCCTCACATACTTCTAGTCTTCTAATTTATCTATCTTCTCCCTTCTTTTTGGGACTTTGTGCATGCAGCTCTTCTTCTAGAAAGGCCTTTTTCTTTTGGCTTAGTAGCTCTTTTAGATACTATTTTTAGGAATCATATGTTACAGAAAGCCACCTCTGATCCCATTGATTGGGCTATATTTCTTCATGTACATTTTCTTACATTACCTGTGCTTTTCCATGGTAACAGTCATCACTCTGTAATACAGTTAACTGTTCTTGTTTGTAAGCCTGAGGGGCAATCTTACTTTTGTTCATCTTTGTATCTTTAGTACTAAGTACAAAGCTAATAAGTAGTTAAGTCTGGACCCAGTTATACATGTGCGGATGCTGAGAATCAGTCTTTTTTAGAATATAGTATAGTAGATCCCTTTTCTCTGCTCTGTACCCATGGGGAGTCTGTGATATATTATTTATTTATTTTTAATTAAAGTTTTTGTCTACTTTAATCTGAATAATAATGATACTATTATTTACTAATTGACTTTTTAAAAAGTACTTTACTGTGGTTGGAATACTGTAAGACAACTTAGTTTTCAAGAAGTTTAGTTAATGTAGACAGACTTGATCACACATATGTAAAGTCAGATTTAAACCATAGTCCTTGTGACAATAAAGTCCATGTTCTTAGATCAACGTGAAGGTGGATGTTATGTGAAACTGTGAGCATAGAGATCTCCCAGGGAGAGTTTATAGACTGAGAGGAGTAGAGAATAGAAGATAGCCTCAAGGAGAAGGAATCCATCTTGTACTTTTCCCATGGCTCTTAATTTGAGTTAATATATATGTGTGTGTGTATATATACACACACCACATATATATAATATGGGGCTTCAGTGTGTTGCTTAGACTGGCCTTGAATTCCTGGGCTCAAATGATCCTCCCACCTCAGCCTCCTGAGTAGCTGGGACTTTGGTGTATGCCACTGCACCTGGCTGATGTGCAGTTTTGTTTTGTTTTAATGAGACAGGGTCTCTCTCACTCTGTCACCCAGGATGGAATGTAGTGGCATGATCATGCCTCACTGCAGCTTTGAACTCCTGGGCACAAGTGATCTTCTTGCTTCAGCCTCCCAAGTAGATGGGACTATAGGCATGTACCACCACACTTGGGTAATTTGATTTTTTGTGTTTTGTTTTTGTTTTGTTTTGAGATATGGTCTCACTCCATCACCCAGGCTGGAGTGCAGTGGCACGAACTTGGCTCACTGTAATTTCTGCCTCCCAGGCTCAAGTGATCCCCCACCTCAGCCTCCCAAGCAGCTGAGACAACAGGTTCATGCTACCACACCCAGCTAATTTTTAAAAATTTTTGGTAGAAACGGAGTTTTACCACGTTGCCCAGCCCGGCTCAAGTGATCTGCCCACCTTGGCTTCCCAAAGTGTTAGGATTACAGGCGTGAGCCCCTGTGCCTAGCCTGATGTGCAGCTTTATTGTTCTCTTTTTTCTAGAGGTTCGTATCGCTGCTGTGGAGGCCCTCTGCATGTTGGCCCAGTCTTCACCCTCTTTTGCTGAGAAGTGCCTTGATTTCCTGGTTGACATGTTCAATGATGAAATTGAAGAAGTACGTCTGCAGTCCATACATACCATGAGAAAAATCTCTAACAATATCACCCTCCGAGAAGATCAGCTTGACACTGTCTTGGCTGTGCTAGAGGTGAGTATTTCTAGTTTGTTACTCATTTCTTCATACCTGCCCCCAGCTGTTAAAAATCAGGTATTGTGCTAGGCATTGGTGACAGAACAGTTATCAAGCAGCATAGTTCTGCTTTCTATACCTCTTCCCTAAGATGGAAGAAATTGACTGTGAAACAAGAAATTTGAATAAGCTTGGTCTTTCTGTGATTAAGAAAGGATAGGATGCCTTAAGGAATTAAGGGTTTATTATAATGATAGCATAGAGTTGAAGAGATGGGAGAGTGGAGGAAGTGGCTACAGATAAGGTAGGGGCTAAATAATGAAGAGTTCTATTCAACCTTTAATTTGATTTTATTCTTGTAGTGAATTATAGGCTGTTACAGCAGCAAGTGCTCTTGGGGATTGATTCATCTACCCTGGGAATTTTATAGAGGAAAAAAGTGAGTTGTCTGAGGCAGTTAGTGGCTGCACGAGAATGTAAACAGAGTTGCTTCCCAGGCCGTACAGCTCTATGTGGTTCTTCAATTATTTTTCTAAAATGTCTAGATTTTATTTGCAACTACAAAAGTTCTTCATAGTATTCATAATTGGAGTTTGGCCTCTGTTTTCCTTTTTTGAGGAAGACGGGGTTCAGATGTGAAAGGGATAGTAAATAGGTGCTTAGTTATTAGAGCACTTATAGTGGATTTCTACTGCGTACATTAAAGAACAGCTGGTGCTTTGGTTTTGAAGGTCCCTTACCATTCTCTCAGCTGCTTAGCACTTTTACTAAGATTTTTCCTGAATTATAAATCTTTATAATTTTTTTGTGTATTTTTTCCTGAAAATAAGTTTACATTTTATATGTGGTTCCTCATGGGTGGTCTCATACATAGTCCAGCCACTCCTTTCCTTTTTAGCTTTCTTTTCAACCATTCCTCACCTTGAACTTCATGCTGAAGTCACTTTCCTACACATACTGCATTTCCTCACAATTTTGCCTTCAATGTAATTTTCCCCCCTTTTGTAAGTGGCTTGCAAAGCTGCCACTTTGACCTAGGGGTATTCAACTTATTCCCACAGCCTACATTAGGCAACACATCCAGGAAGCTTTCCCTAACTGCTACTTCCAGTCCTAGGAGGGCTAAATGCCACTTCTCTATTCCCATAGCACCCTGCGTATACTGCCCTAGCATTTTTCAGTAATTCTGTCTTTCGGAAGACTGTAAGCTTCGCAAGGGGTCTTTACTTTACTTTTTCTTTTCTGTCTGTTTTTGAGGCAGAGTCTCGCACTGTTGCCCAGGCTGGCGTGCAATGGTGCAATCTTAACTTACTGCAACCTCTATCCCTTGGTTTCAGCCAATTCTCCTGCCTCAGCCTCCCAAGTAGCTGGGATTATAGGCACACACCACAGTCCCTGACTAATTTTTGTGTATTTTTTTTTAGTAGAGATGGGGTTTTGCCATGTTGGCCTAGCTGGTTTTGAACTCTTGACCTCAAGTGATCCATCCACCTTGGCCTCCCAAAGTGCTGGGATTACAGGCACACACCACAGTGCCTGGCTAATTTTTGTATATATTTTTTTAGTAGAGATGGGGTTTTACCATGTTGGCCAGGCTGGTTTTGAACCCCTGACCTCAAGTGATCCATCCACGTTGGCTTCCCAAAGTGCTGGGATTACGGTGTGAGCCATCATGCCAGGCCGACTTTTTATTTTTTTTTATTATCAATGTCTTGCAGCAGTGTCTGGCACAATTAGGTGCTCAGAAAATGTTTGCTCTGTAGCTCAGCTATGTTCCAAGCTATGTTTTGATGTACAGAATTGTTCACAGGTATGCTTATTTGTTGGCATAAGGTACATAACTCACAAAGAATCCTTTCCTTTTAATTCTGTTTGGGAGATCAGACTCATATAAACTTACAGTAGACTGTTCTTCTACCCTGCTGTGCACTGCTCCCTTACATTTTCTGTGTCACTGTACTTCATTGCTTTGAACCTTACCTTGCTGACCCTTCCAGCTAGAATTTGCTTTTTGTTGTTGTTGTTGTTGCTATGCCAAGATCCTACCCTGCCTAGAAAAATTCACATTTTTATTCAACAAGCAGTATCTATGTGTTGGAAATACAGTGTTATCAAAACAGGATCCCTGCTTTCATGAAACTTACATTCTTAAAGAGATGGAGTCAACAAACAAAGTGATTTCAGATGATGATAAATGTTACACAGAAGATAAACAGTATGATGGAGGAATGAGGAATTTCACTACAATTTGAGTGGTTAGTAAAACCTTTCTGAGGAGATGATGTTCAAGTTGAATCTTGAAAGATAAAGAGAAGTTAGCTATGTGAAGACTGGGAGAAGAACTTCAGGTAGAGGCAACAGCTAGTGGGAAGACTCTAAGGCACAAGTGAGCTTTGTTGTGTTTGCAGAATAAAGAGAAAGCCAGTAGGATTGAACCATAGTGAGAAAGTAGAAATGTGGCATAAGATGAAGTCTGAGAGAGGCATTGGGGACAGGTAGAGAGCCTTGTAGGCCATTTTAAGATGTTTGGATTTTATTCTAACATTATGGAAAACTATTGCAGAATTTTATAAATAGGAGTGACATTTCAATTTGCTTCTCATTTAATGTTTCTCATTCTTGAAGTCTTCTTGAAATTCACATCAGCTAGATTGACTCTTTCCCTCACTCCTCCATTGAACACATACAGGTATACCTCTCTTTATTGGGCTTTGCAGATATTGTGGTTTGTGTGATTGTTTGTTTTTAATAAATTGAGAGATTGTGGCACTGAGCGAGTCTGTTGGTGCCATTTTTCCAATAGCATGTGCTCACCTTATGTCTGTGTCACATTTTGGTAATTCTTGCAATATTTCAAACTTGTATTATCACATCTGTTATGGTGATCTTTGATCAGTGATCTTTGATGTTACTGTTGTAATTGTTTTGGGATCCCACAGACAGTGCCTAAATATGATGGCAAACTTAAGTGTGTGTGTTTTGAGTGTTCCACTAACTGGCCATACCCGGTTTCTCTCTTAGCCTTTCTTCTTAGCCTGTCCTTTTTCCTAGTTGCAAAAAGGCTCTTTTAGCTTTAGCATCATGTTTGAGTTCCAGATAGGTTGGAGAAGGGAGGTTAAAGAATAAAGGGGACAAAGCTACTGCCTCTAGTCCTTAATTTATCAGTAAAATGAAAGATATTTCAGGAATTTTAGCTAAAGAACTTCCACATATTTTTTTTTTACATGGCCACCCTAGATGGGCAGGTGGCTAGGGAGAAGGGGACGGTAGATAGAGGCTGAGTCTGCTAACCAACAGTAACTACTGTTATTATTAATTTTTTTTAAAGGATTCATCCAGAGATATTCGAGAGGCTCTTCATGAACTCTTATGCTGTACTAATGTTTCAACCAAAGAAGGGATTCATCTTGCATTGGTGGAGCTGCTGAAAAATTTAACCAAGTACCCTACTGATAGGGACTCCATATGGAAGTAATGACTTTTTTGCCCATTTACTCACTGAGTCCCATAATGTGGTAAATGTACAATGCTGACATTTGTTCTGTCCTTATAGTTTGAGGATAGTATGGCCCTGAATTTTGCCTCTAATTTAGAAACCTGATTCAACTTAACCAAACTCTTAAGAATCTGATTCCTAAGCTGAGTATCACATTTCAGATTACTTATTAATATGTCCATCTATCCACTTAGCAGATACTATGTGCCTGCTGTGTGCTGACTATGCACCAACTCCTATGGTAGCTGTTACAAGTATAGAAATGAATTAATTAGATTTCCTCTTTCTCATATATAGTGGGTTTTTTGTTTTGTTTTGTTTTTATTTTTTGAGATGGAGCCCTGTTCTGTTGCCAGGCTGGAGTGCAGTGGTGCGATCCCAGTTCACTGCAACCTCTGCCTCCTGGGTTCAAGCAATTTCTGGCCTCAGACTCCTGAGTAGCTGGGACTACAGGCATGCACCACCATGCCTGGCTAATTTTTGTTTCGCTTTTTTTGAGACGGAATCTCGTTCTGTCATCCGGACTAGATTGCAGTGGTACAATCTCGGCTCACTGCAACCTCTGCCTCCCGGGTTCAAGCAATTCTCTTGCCTCAGCTTCTTGAGTAACAACTGGTATTACAAGTACACACCACCACACCCAGCTAATTTTTGTATTTTTTTTTAGTAGAGATGGGGTTTTACCATGTTGGTCAGGCTGGACTTGAGCTCCTGACCTCAAGTGATCCACCTGCCTTGGCCTCCCAAATTGCTGGGATTATAGGTGTGAGCCACTGCATCTGGCCACTGCTATATAGTGTTAATCACTCCTGTGTCTATTTTGCATTTTTGTAAAGAATCAGATCCATCATCATAGAGATTATAGGCAGGGCAGGAGGCAGAGCTATGTAAGATGGGAAATCACAATCATTTTCTCCTTTGATTATCTCTAGTTTTATTCAGTACTATCAACTTATTAACACTGTTCATTAATATAAATATATAAATGTGTTTTCTACATGTTTAAATTAATATAAATTATATTAATATAAATGTGTGTTCTACATGTTTAAATGAGTTTATATGATGAGACCACTTCAACTGTGTATAGTTTGTCTTTAAAAATGTTGTTACTAAAAGTAGAAAAACTATGGGTTGAATCAGCTACTTAGAAAATATATCAAAACTGACCAACATGGTGAAACCTCATCTCTACTAAAAATAGAAAAATTAGCTGGACGTGGTGGCAGACGCCTGTAGTCCCAGCTACTTGGGAGGCTGAGTCAGGAGAATCACTTGAACCCAAGAGGTGGAGGTTGCAGTGAGCCGAGATTGTGCCACTACACTCCAGCCTGGACACGAGTGAAACTCTATCTCAAAAAAAAAGAAGAGAAAAGAAAATATATTAAAACTGAAAATACCAGGGCAGTCTTGCTCTAGGAAACTTTTTTGGTGTCTGGTGTTCCATTTTGCCATTCCTTTTTATAGTCCCATTCAGCTCAATTTGACATATATTTATTGAGTGTCTTCAAGAAGCTCTCAGATATTTGTGGGGTTGCGGTGGCGTTAAACACCTATATAAGTAACTGGAGTTCTGTGGAGACCCAGCATGTCTCCACAGAAGGAAGTAATGTTGGAACATTCTTCAGGCATTAAAATAAGATTTGTAGTTATTTGGTTCACTTAGAATATTTACATAAGGCTATCTTTATTGGGTGATTGTGGACAAAGAACTCCTTAACCACATAGTGCTTCAAAAGCCTTTGAAGTCACCTATTCTAATTTTTTTTTTAACTTTAGAGACAGGGTCTCACTATGTTGTCCAGGCTGGTCTTGAACTCCTAGGCTCCAGTAATCCTTCTACCTTGGCCTCCCAAAGTCCTAGGATTACAAGCGTGAGCTAGTGCACCTGGCCTACTTATTCTAATTATCACTTATGTTTTTTTTTTTCACCTTTTCCAATGAATGGTGGCATTATTTAGAAATAAAAAATAGATGAGGCCAGGCATGGTAGCTCATGCCTATAATCCCAGCACTTTGGGAGACGGAGGAGGGAGGATCACCTGAAGCCAGGAGTTTGATATTAGTCTGAGCAACAAAACCAGACTCTGTCTCTACAAAAAATTTAAAAATTAGCCCAGTGCAGTATACATACCCATAGTCCCAGCTACTTAGGGAGGCTGAGGCAGGAAGATTGCTGGAGCCCAGGATTTAAAGGCTGTGGTGAGCCATGTTGTCACCAGTCCACTACAGCCTGAGTGACACAGCAAGACCTTGTCTCTTAGAAAGGAAAAAAGTGATAAAAGAGTAAAGAAATAGAGTGACCTGTTTTTTAAAATGTTGATAAACATAAATGTATAAATGAAAGTTCTGAAGGAGATAGTTTGGTCTGTTTATATATCTTTAGTTCATTCAATAAATGCTTACTGACCACTTGCTATAACCCAGTCAATATGTTAGGTGCTGTAGAGATTTAAAAATGGATTGGGCTCAGACCTAGCCCTAAAATACCAAGAAGGGAGAACGGTAGCAAATATGTGGATAGGGAGGTGAATGAGATAGTAAGAAGTTTAGAATATTAAGAAGCCAGAATTAAAGCCTAGCTTTAGAGAGGCCCACATGTATAGGGGCCTGTAAGGTGACCCATTTAATAGCACTTCTGGTACCCATCTGAGTTATGAATAGAGTAAGATCAAAATAAATGACTGGCACCTGGAAGCTAAAATTCTTTCTTTACAGTGTGCCCTGAGGTATACTGAGTAAAAGTGCTTAGAGAGGCCTGAAAATAAATGAAACAAATTCTTTCCACCTAGAAGGAAAAACAGACTGGGAAAAGCATACTTTCTCAAGAAGATCACATGCTTTAGATTAGATGACTTTCATTCCCCATATACTCAGTGAATTTTTCAGTGTTTATTTTCTCTCTCTTTTGCTGATCTACCTGTTCTCCAGTCCCTGGTGAAATCTCCTATGTGACCATCTGCTATGTGAATATTTCTTTTTCTATTTCTTTTATTATTTATTTGTTTATTGCATTTTAGGTTTTGGGGTACATGTGAAGAACATGCAAGATTGTTGCATAGGTACACACATGGCAGTGTGGTTTGCTGCCTCCTCATCACTTATATCTGGCATTTCTTCCCATGTTATCCCTCCCCAGCTCCCCATCCCTCGCTGTCCCTCCCGTTTCCCTCCAACAGACCCCAGTGTGTGATGCTCCCCTCCCTGTGTCCAAGTGTTCTCATTGTTCAACACCCGCCTATGAGTAAGAACATGCGGTGTTTGATTTTCTCTTCTTCTGTCAGTTTGCTGAGAATGATGGTTTCCAGGTTCATCCATGTCCCTACAAAGGACACGAACTCATCGTTTTTTATGGCTGCATAGCATTCCATAGTGTATATATGCCACATTTTCCCTGTCCAGTCTATCGTCGACGGACATTTGGGTTGGTTCCAAGTCTTTGCTATTGTAAACAGTGCTGCAGTAAACATTAGTGTGCATGTGTCCTTATAATAGAATGATTTATAATCCTTTGGATATATACCCAGTATTGGGATTGCTGAGTCAAATGGAATTTCCATTTCTAGGTCCTTGAGGAATTGCCACACTGTCTTCCACAATGGTTGAACTAATTTACACTCCCACCAACAGTGTAAAAGTGTTCCTGTTTCGAGAAAACAAAAAGTTTTCCTATTTCTCCACATCTTCTCCAGCATCTATTGTCTCCAATTTTTTAATGATTGCCATTCGAACTGGCATGAGATGGTATCTCAATGTAGTTTTGATTTGCATTTCTGTAATGACCAGTGATGATGAGCATTTTTTCATATGTTTGTTGGCCTCATATATGTCTTCTTTTGTAAAGTGCCTGTTTGTATCCTTCACCCACTTTTGAATGGGCTTGTGTGTTTTTTTCTTGTAGATCTGTTTTAGTTCTTTGTAGATTCTGGATATCAGCCCTTTGTCAGATGGGTAGACTGCCAACATTTTTTCCCATTCTGTTGGTTGCCGATTCACCCTAATGACTGTTTCTTTTGCCATGCAGAAGCTGTGGAGTTTGATTAGGTCCCATTTGTCTATTTTGACTTTTGTTGCCAATGCTTTTGGTGTTTTGGTCATGAAGTCCTTGCCTATGCCTATGTCCTGAATGGTTTTGCCTAGATTTTCTTCTAGGGTTTTTATGATGTTAGGTCTTATGTTTAAGTCTTTAATCCGCCTGGAGTTAATTTTAGTGTAAGGTGTCAGGAAGGGGTCCAGTTTCTGCTTTCTGCACATGGCTAGCCAGTTTTCCCAACACCATTTATTAAACAGGGAATCCTTTCCCCATTGCTTGTTTTCGTCAGGTTTTCAAAGATCAGATTGTTGTAGATATGTGGCGTTGCCTCCGAGGCCTCTGTTCTGTTCCATTGGTCTATATCTCTATTTTGGTACCAGTACCATGCTGTTTTGATTACTGTAGCCTTGTAATATAATTTGAAGTCAGATAGTGTGATGCCTCCAGCTTTGTTCTTTGGTTCCATATGAAGTATAAGGTGTTTTTTTCCAGTTCTGTGAAGAAGATCATTGGTAGTTTGATGGGGATAGCGTTGAATCTGTAAATTACTTTGGGCTGTATGGCCATTTTCACAATGTTGATTCTTCCTAGCCATGAGCATGGAATGTTTCTCCATCTGTTTGTGTCCTCTCTTATTTCGTTGAGCAGTGGTTTTTAGTTCTCCTTGAAGCGGTGCTTTACATTCTTTGTTAGTTGTATTCCTAGGTATTTTATTCTTTTTGTAGCAATTGTGAAAGGCAGTTCGTTCTTGATTTGGCTCTCTTTAAGTCTGCTATTGGTGTATAGGAATGCTTGTGATTTTTAGACATTGATTTTGTATCTTGAACTTTGCTGAACTTGCTTATCAGTTTCAGGAGATTTTAGACTCAGACAATAGGGTCTTCTAAATATACAATCATGTCAACTGCAAATAGCGACAATTTGACTTCTTCCTTTCCTAATTGAATACCCTTTATTTCTTTTTCTTGCCTGATTGCTCTGGCTAGAACTTCCAATACTATATTGAATGGGAGTGGTGAGAGAGGGCATCCTGGCCTAGTGCCAGATTTCAAAGGGAATGCTTCCAGTTTTTGCCCATTCAGTATGATATTGGCTGTTGATTTGTCATAAATAGCTTTTATTATTTTGAGATACATTCCACCAATACCTAGTTTGTTGAGGGTTTTTAGCATAAAGTGCTGTTGAATTTTGTCAAATGCCTTCTCTGCATCAATTCAGATAATCGTGAGGCTTTGCTGAGCTGCTGTGGAATCCGCCCAGCTGCCCTGTGAACTTCTCTGCAGTCCAGTTTATAGTGTTATAGTTAGAACTGCCTCCGTAATGGTGGCCCACCTCTGTAATAGCAGACACTCTGTAATGGTGGACTGCCTCGTCAATGACGGACTACCTTAGTAGTGGCGGACTGCCTCACTAATGGCAGACGCCCCTCCCCTATAGAGCTGGACCGTTCCGGGTTCAGCTGTGCTTGCTGTTAAACTCTCAATCCAGAGCATTTCAGATTACTGTTTTTTGTGGGAATGGGAACAGCTGAGCCTGGTTACCTTGCTCCCTGTCTCAGATCCCCTTTTTTTTTTTCAGTTGAATGGGCGTCTCTGTCTCCCAGGCATCCCAGTCACCAGTTGAAACAGCGCCCGGATTTGTGTGATTTCTTGTGCATAGACCTGCTGCGCCGGCTGAAACAGCTGCTGGAGACTCGTGGCGCTTTTTTGCCGGGGAATCTCCTGGCCTGGCTCCCTGTTTCAGTCCCCTTTTTCTTCAGTTGAATGGGCGACTCTGTCTCCCAGGCGTTCCAGTCACCAGTTGAAATAGACACCCAGATTTGTGTGAGATTTTGTGCAGAGACCCACTGAGCCAGCCGAAACAGTCGCTCTGGGGGCTTGTGGTGCTTTTTTTCCTGGGAATCTTCTGTCCTGGCTCCCTGTTTCAGTCTCCTTTTTATCAGTTAAATGGGTGACTGTGTCTCCCAGGCATTCCAGTCACCTGTTGAAAAGTCACTGGGATCTTTATGATTTCCCACGTGGCGACCCACTACCCCGGCTGAAACAGGCGTGGATTCATGGTGCTTTTTTGCCTGGGAATCTCCTGGCCTGGCTCCCTGTTTCAGTCCCCTTTTTATCAGTTGAATGGGCGACTCTGTCTCCCAGGTGCTCCAATTGCCAGCTAAAAGGTGCCCAGACCTTTGTATTTTGTGCGGAGACCTGCCGCTCCAGCCAAAACAGCCACACTGGCAACCCGTGGGGCTCCTCCACTTGGGAATCTCCTGGTCTGTGGGCAATAAAAATCCATCTGCAAATGCGATGTCCACTCACCCTCCACGCTCTCACTGGGAACTGCAATCCTGAGCTGCTCCTAATCGGCCATCTTGGATCCCCCTATGTGAATATTTCTCTGATCATATTGGTCTCTTCTACCTTTGACACGAAGAAGTAGAATGTCTTTTATTTGATAGTTCATACCTTTGATAGTAGTGCTGGTCATCTTTGCCTCAGCTGAATTATAAACTCCACGAGGACAGAATTAAGATATATATGTTTTCAATTTAGTTCCCCCCCCCTTTTTTTTTTAAATTCTTCAGAGAAGGAAATAGGTTCTGTGACTTTTTTTTTTTTTTTTTTTTTTTGAGACAGAGTCTTGCTCTGTTGCCCAGGTTGGATTGCAGTGGATGTGATCTCAGCTCACTGCAACCTCCGCTTCCCAGGTTCAAGTGATTCTCCTGCTTCAACAGGAGAATCCTGAGTAGCTGGGATTATAGGCGCCTGCCACCATCTCCAGCTAATTTTTGTATTTTTAGTAGAGTTGAGGGTTTGCCATGTTAGCCAGGCTGGTCTCGAACTCCTGACCTCAAGTAATCCACCCACCTTGGCCTCCCAAAGTGCACCTTCTAAACCAGAACTTAACAAATAAAAAATAATAAGATCGGGTGTGGTGGCTCATGCCTGTAATCCTAGCACTTTAGGAGGCCGGGGCAGGTGGATCGCCTGTGGTCAGGAGTTCGAGACCAGCCTGGCCAACATGGTGAAATCTCATCTCTACTAAAAATGCAAAAATGTACCGGGTGTGGTGGTGGAGGCCTGTGATCCCAGCCACTCAGGAGGCCTAGGTAGGAGAATCACTTGAACCTGGGAGGCAGAGGTCGCAGTGAGCTGAGATGATACCAGTGCGTTCCAGCTTGGGCAACAAAGCAAAATTCCGTCTCAAAACAAAACCAAAAACAAAAACAAAAAACCATAAAAGATAATAAATATATTTAATTACCTTGCTTGTATTAGTTCCTTATAGTTTATAAAGGACCTTTATATAGTTATAATAGCTAACATTGAGTTCTTACTATATGACAGACACTTTGGTAAGTACTTTATGTTGGTTATCTTATTTAATGCTTATAGCAGCTCTGTGAAGTAATGACTTTGTTTTTTCTTTTTTTGAGACAGTGTCTGGCCCTGGCTCCAGGCTGGAGTGCAGTGGCACCATCTTGGCTCACTACAACCTTCTCCTCTTGGGTTCAAGAGATTCTCCTGCCTCAGCCTTCTGAGTAGCTGGGACTACAGGTGCACACCAGCACACCCAGCTAATTTTTGCATTTTTAGTAGAGACGGGGTTTCACTATATCGACCAGGATGGTCTGTTGATCCTGTGATCTGCCCGCCTTGGTCTCCCAAAGTGCTGGGATTACAGGCGTGAGCCACCTTGTCCTGTCTAAAGTAATGACTTTTAATCCCATTTTGTAGATGAAAAAATTTACTTGCCTAAGACTACTCAGTTTCAGACAGATCTCTGATTTCAGAACTTCACCCAGGATATCAATTAGAATGCTTTTGCCCGTAAGTAAAAAAGACAACCTGATTAAAAATGTCTTAGCCAATTGGTCTAAGTTTTTTTCATAAAAAGAAATCAGAAGGTTGGTCTCAGGGTTGGTCATTCAGTGGGTTATCAGGGCTCTTTTTGGTTTCTCTGCAGTTCTCTTGGCTTCTCATAGTTATAAGATGGCTGCCTCATAAGATAGTATCTCAAGACAGAAAGGAAGGGTCATTCCCTTTCATGCATTGCTCTTTTGATTTGCAAAACCATCCCTGAGAAGCTCCCCAGCCAACATACTCTCATGCTCCATTTACTAGAATTGGCTTACTTGCCTACCAGCAAACCAGTCACGGGAAAATGGGAATGGAATTGCCTTGATGGGTTTAGACCAATAGTGTTTCAGCTGATGCGCTGGATTTGCCTTTTCTGAGCACTTTGCTGCCTGCCTGATACCTGAGTAAAATGAGGGCTCTCTCAGGAAGAAAGATGAGGGAAAATGGCTGTTGGTTAAATAACCAGTTCTTTTTTTTTTTCTTTTTCTTTTTTTTTTTTTGAGACAGAGTCACACTCTGTTGCCAGGCTGGACTGCAGCGACACCATCTTGGCTTACTGCAATTTCCGACTCCTGGTTCAAGCAATTCTGTAGCCTCAGCCTCCCAGTTAGCTGGGATTACAGGTGCCTGGCCTTCCAGTTCTTTTGTCTTTATAATAACAAATTTTTTTTTTTTTTTTTTTGAGACAGAGTCTCGCTCTGTCACCAGGTACCAGGCTGGAGTGCAGTGGTGCAATCTTGGCTCACTGCAACCTCTGCCTCCCAGGTTCAAGAAATTCTCCTGCCTCAGCCTCCCCGAGTAGCTGGGACTACAGGCGTGTGCCACCACACCCAGCTAATTTTTGTATTTTTTAGTGGAGATGAGGTTTCACCATGTTGGCCAGGATGATCTCGATCTTTTGACCTCGTGATCCACCCACCTTGACCTCCCAAAGTGCTGGGATTACAGGCGTGAACTACTGTGCCTGGCCCAATAACCAAATTTTTAAGATGAATTAACTGAGTTCCAGAATAATTGGGTGACATATCTGAAGTCATAGAGTTAGCTAAAGTATATGATCAAGAATTTACATTTCCAGTTCAGGTTTTCTGATTCAAATTCCTAGTGCTTTCATAGACTTACTAATTTGTTGTAATTTGATGTGCATTCTTATTGGTTTGTTTCAGGTGCTTGAAGTTTCTGGGAAGTCGGCATCCAACCCTGGTGCTCCCCTTGGTGCCAGAGCTTCTGAGCACCCACCCATTTTTTGACACAGCTGAACCAGACATGGATGATCCAGCTTGTATCCTCTGTGCTTAGGATGGGCCCCGATGTGTTGACAGACAGCTTTGGCATCTCCTTCTGCAGTGTAGCTGGGGTGGTGTGAGTTTTCTTTTCTTTTTTTTTTTTTTTTTTTTTTTTGGAGACAGTTTCACTCTGTTGCTTAGGCTAGAGTGCAGTGGCCTGATCTCGGCTCACTGCAGCCTCTGCCTCCCGGGTTCAAGCATTTCTCCTACCTCAGCCTCCTGAGTAGCTGGAATTATAGGCACCTGCTACTCGCCTGGCTAATTTTTGTATTTTTAGTAGAGACAGGGTATCACCATTTTGGCCAGGCTGGTATCAAACTCCTAACCTCAGGTGATCTGCCTGCCTTGACCTCCCAAAGTCCTGGAATTACAGGCATGAGCCACCGTGCCCAGCCTTGGTCTGAGTTTTCTTTTCGACATTTATTTAGTACCTACTATTCCACATACTGCTTATAGTCATCTGTTTATATCCGTTGGGAATTAGTTCCAGGACCTCTCTTAGATACCAAAATGCATGGATGTTTAAATGCCTCATATAAAATGTTGTATGGAATATAACTTTCTCACATCCTCCCATATACTTTAAGTTATCTCTAGATTACTTATGATACCTAACACACTGTAAATGCTGTGTAAATAGTTGTTATGTTGCATTGTTCAGGGAATAATAACCAAAAAAAGCCTGTACATGTTCTGTACAGTTGCAAGCATTTAAAAAAATATATATTTTCCATCTGCAATGTGTTGAATTCATGGTTGCAAAACCCAGAGATGGAGGGCCACTATAAGTGCATTATGCAATTTATCTCTCATCTTCCAAACAACTCTGGAAGGTGCTATTATTCTCAGTTTACAGATGAGGAAACTGAGGCTCAGAGTGTTAGGTAACTCTCTAAGCATCAGATTTGGGATTCCAAACCAGAAAAAAATCTCTGGTTTTAAAGCCTGTACACTCTTCCTAATGTCTTATACAATGTTTAATTTGACCTTTAGCCTGAGAGAGGTGATGGCTGAGCTAGGTTCTATGACTATTCTGCCTCTGAGACAAGTTCAGTGGGTTTATGATAGCCTGTACAGCATGCCATGTGATTGATTGTTTTCCAGTAATGGGGATACATTTACATCAGTACATCCACACTCTCCTAGGGTTCTTTTTGCTCTGTGGGCAGATCCTTGGTGAAGTTTAAGAGTAGTTATTGAAACACAGAGATCAGCCATGTAGTCAGGCTATTGTAGTCAGGTGACCATTATAGTCCCCTTAATACTCTTTTTAAAATTTGAATTATTTTATTTTTTTAATTGACACATAATAATTGTACAAATTTATGGGGTACATATTGATATTTGATACATAGGTGTACTGTTCAGATCAGGGTAGTTAGCATATTCATCCTCTCAAACATTTATCATTTCTTTGTATTGGAAACATTCAGTATCCTCTGTCTAGCTCTTTGAAACTATTTATTATTGTTAACTGTAGTCATCCTACAGTGCTGTAGAGCCTAGAACTTAACGCCTCCCATCTCACTTTAATTTTGCAGGCTTTAACAAGTCTCTCCCTTTAACCATCCTTCCTCTCCCTTAACCTCCCTGAATTGTTTGTTTATTTTCATAGGGCTTTTGGGGAATTTTTGAATTTAAAGATCTGTATAACTGATATACTAAGCAATGCCTGACTTCACATTTGCATTTAAGAAAGACACATTCTGATCTTACCTCTAATGGTATAGTCTAGCTATTTGAAATTCAGCCCATCAGAGATGTACTTGTAGGGTAGGTCTTACTACTACTTGGAAGACATATTGAAATGCTCTGAAATCTGAAGGCCCTTTACATTGAAAACAAAAATTAAAACATTCTTGGCTATTTTGTTAAGATATTTTTCGGGATAGTTGGAGGATTGTTTTATTTGCTACTTATGTTTGGCTGTCAGAGCTTGCTCCCACATTTACCTTAGGAAAATTAAGATTTTAATTTTTCTCCAATGTAAGAGTAGTCTAGAGGTAAGCAAGCTGGTGTGACAGCTCCATATTATTCTCGGTGATCTAAGCTCCTTCTGTTTTTCTGTTCTGCCATTGTTAGTTGTCCAAGATTGTTGCTAGTGCTCCAATCATCATGTCCAGGCTCTAGGCAGGAAATCAGAGGATCTCCAGAATAAAATTTGTATTCTGTTACTAAAGAAAAAGAGGAGGATGGTTGCTGGGTAGACAGATATAAGGCTGTGCCATAGGGAAGCGTGGAAGATTGTTGGAAGACATGTTTATCTTTTAATTTCTGATTTTCCCTTCAGTGTAAAATTATTATATATAGAAAGAAAATCCAAGAAACTTCATATTTAACATCTTAAGTCTTGTTAGCCAGAGTAATCTAGTTTTAATATTTTGGAGTATTTTCTTCTCCTTTTAGCTGCTGGGCTGGGGCACTTTCAGGCTGCTTGGTGCCAGGGGGCTGCCTTTCTTCTCCTTTTAAAAAAAATCTTGAGTTGGAATTTTGCTGCTTTTATTTTTTAATATAATTCATTTCATTGACAACTATTGGATAATAGTTGCTATCATATCTTCTATATATTTTAGAACCTGTTCTTTTCACTTTCTATGAAAAATGGCATTCATGTAACCAAAATCTATTGAAAAAAAAGAAAAAAAATATGGTACAAAATTATAAATTTCGTATATATATATATATATATATTTTTTTTTTTTTTTGTGACAAAGTCTCTGTCATTCATGCTGGAGTGCAATGGTGCAATCATCATTGCTTACTGTAGTCTTGACCTTCTGAGCTCAAGTTATCCTCCTTCCTCAGCCCCCCAAGTAGTTGGGACTATAGGCATGAGCCACCACACCCAGCTAATTTTTTTGTAGAGATGAGTTCCCACTTTATTGCCCAGGCTGGTCTTAAACTCCTGGATTCAAACGATCCTTCTGCCCCAGCCTCTCGAAGATGCTGGCATTACAGACATCAGCCTCCACATCCAGCTTATAAATACAATTTTTAATGATTATACAGCTGTGTTTTACCTACATAATGGCATAATATATAATCATTAAAAATTATGTATATATAACTATATATGTGAATACACACACACACACACACACACACACACACACACACAATCATTCTCCTGTTTTTGGACATTTAGGTTATTTCTGATTGCAATAGTCCCCCCTTACCTGCTGTTCACTTTCTGCAGTTTTAGTTACTTGCAGTCAACTGTGGCCTGAAAACATTAAATGGAAAATTCCCGAAATAAGCAATTAATAAGCTCCAAATTGCATGTCATTCTGAGAAGTGTAATGAAATTGAACAGCATCCTTTTCCATCCCACTCAGGATGTGAATCATCTTGTCCAGTGAACTCATACTGCATATGCTAACTGTCCATTAGTCACTCCGTGGCTGTCTCAGCTATTAGATTTGATTTTGTAATGGCCCCAAAGTGCAATAGTAGTGATGCTGGTAATTCAGATATGCCAATGAAAAAGCCATGAAGTCTTCCTTGAAGTGAAAAAATGAAAGTTCTTGAGTTAATAAGAAAATTGTATGTTGAGATTGTTAAGATTTACATATGATAAGACAAATTTTCTATCCATGAAATTATCAACAACGAAAATAAATTTTTTGCTTGTTTTACTGTTGCACCTCAAACTGCAAAAGTTATGACCACAATGCTTGATAAGTTCTTAGTTAAGATGGAAAAGGCATTAAATATGTAGGTGGAAGACTAGAATAGAAACCCGCCATCATGTTCCAATTGATGGCTGTTGGATTCAGTACTGTCTGCAGTTTCAGGAATCCATATGGGGTCTTGGACCATTTCCCCCCAAGGATAAGAGGGTCTACTGTAACTGCTAATGATTCTGTGATATTAGGCTGTTTACTTAGATTTTGCGATGTGGAATTACTCAGGATGTGTAAGACTCTTACTGTCTGGTACCAAATTTTCCAAAATTACTGTGCTGATATATATATGTGTGTGTGTGTGTGTGTGTGTGTATATATATATATATATATATATATATTTTTTTTTTTTTTTTTTTAAATGGAGTCTCGCTCTGTTGCTTGGGCTGGAATGAAGTGGCACCATCCCAGCCCACTGTAAACTCCACCTCTTAGGTTCAAATGATTCTGCCTCAGCTTCCCGTGTAGCTGGGATTATAGGCGCTTGTCATCATGCCTGGCTAATTTTTGTATTTTTAGTAGAAACGGGGTTTCACCATGTTGACCAACTGGTCTTAAACTCCTGACCTCAGGTGATCCGCCCACCTCAGCCTCCCAAAGTGCTGAGATTACAGGATGAGGCACCGCACTCGGCCAGTGTGTACTTTGATAGGCAATATAGTTGCCTACTTCATAGGCAAAATCGTTTCTATTTTTTTGTATTCTTGGCAGCATTCTGGCATTTTTAAAAACCTTTGGTAATTGGGGGTGTGTGTTGGGTAGGGAAATGTATTTCATTGTTTATATTTGCATTTCTTTGATTATTAGAAAATCATAGTCTCTTGATGGAGATTTTAGAGTTGGAAAGTGAGAATGCAAGATTCTGGCCAACCTTTTATACTTCCAAGTTTACTTAACCCACTGTTCTATCAGATATTGCAGTTTTGGTACTTATTTTCAATGCTGCTAAAACCTGTCCAACAATGCCAGCATTGTTCTCAGATCACACCTTCAGGCACTATGCCTATCTCCGAGACAGTCTTTCTCATCTTGTTCCTGCCTTGAGGGTATGTTGAAAACATCTGTTGTCCTTGTTTTTGTTTTGCATGGGATAGGCGGTGTTTTTATTCTTGTTTTCCCTTGAGATGGGGGTCTCACTGTTTTGCCCAGGCTGGTCTCAAATCATGGACTTAAGCTATCCTCCTGCCTCAACCTCCCAAATAGCTGGGTATACAGGTGCATACCACATTATGCAGCTTTTTATTTTTCATGCTTTTTCATTATTTTTTATTTTTCATGCTTTTTTTAAATAGTAGAAAGCAATTCATATATTCTCTGAAAACTCGTTTGTTCATTCTCTTTCTCTCTTGGGCTCTCTGCCATTGTTTCATACTTTTGCTTTTGTGTCCCTTACCTTTTAAGATGATTCATTTTTTTACTGTCCCTGGGTTACTTATATTAGGCAAGGAGAAAGGAATCTGGAATGTTATATTTTAGATCAAGAATTTAAATTGTTATATTTTAACAATTACATAAAGCCATGATTCTCAACAATTATTTAGTTTTTTAAAAACAAAACCTTTACTATTTTTAAAACCTAGAGATTTACAGAAGAAAATTTAAAAAGGAATCATAATAACAATCACAAACACTGAGTGAATGCTATGGCCCAAGGACTTTTCTAATCTCTCTGTTTGTATTAACTCATCCTTTCTTGGGTGACTCCAAATGACTTTATTTAGAGTAATATGTGTTTATTTTATTTTATTTATTTTTTTTTGAGACGGAGTTTCACTCATGTTACCCAGGCTGGAGTGCAATGGCGCGATCTCAGCTCACCGCAACCTCCGCCTCCTGGGTTCAGGCAATTCTCCTGCCTCAGCCTCCTAAGTAGCTGGGATTACAGGCACGCACCACCATGCCCAGCTAATTTTTTGTATTTTTAGTAGAGACGGGGTTTCACCATGTTGACCAGGATGGTCTCGATCTCTTGACCTCGTGATCCACCCGCCTCGGCCTCCCAAAGTGCTGGGATTACACGCTTGAGCCACCGCACCCGGCCTAATATGTGTTTATTTAGAGGAATGTGTGTGTGTGTGTGTGTGTGTGTGTGTGTGTGTGTGTGTATATATAGTTAGAAAATTTAAACTTTATAGAAGTTACAAAATGAGGCCAGGTGCAGTGGCTCACGCCCATAATCCCAGCAATTTGGGAGGCCGAGGTGGGCGGATCACCTGAGGTCAGGAGTTGTGACCAGCCTATCCAACATTGTGAAATCCTGTCTGTACTAAAAATACAAAAGTTACCCAGGCATGGTGGCGGGCACCTGCAGCCCTAGCTACTCAGGAGGTTGAGGCAGGAGAATTGCTTAAACCAGGGAGGAAGTGGTTGCAGTGAGCCGAGATTGCACCACTGCACTCCAGCCTGGGTGACAAAGCAAGACTCCGTCTCAAAAAAAAGTAGATACAAAATGAACAGTGAAATACTCTTTGCTCTCTCCTTCCCATTTGTCTTAAAAGATAAGCCACTTTTAACAGTAAGAATAAGTATATCTGAAGGGCTAGGCCAAAAATTAAAAAAATTATAAATTATTCTCATGAAAAGAATTGTATGCTAAACTTATTTGGGAATAAATCATTACTCTTCCTCAAGTGAAAGATAAGGGAGTGTTTTAAAGATAAATGTAATGACAGATTAATTTTTAGTCTCATTCCTATGGTTGGCCCATTTATTTCAGTTAGCAATGGAAAATACTATGCCATTCTGTTTTCTTTTTCTCCTGTTAGCTGTGGCTGTATTGGGTAGACTTATGTTTGCATTTTCTTTCTTTCTCTTTAACTCCCAGTGTAGCTGAGGAAGGGGAGAAAGGTTATTTATAGAATCTCCTAGCCATTTTTCCCTTTGTTTTGTTTGGCTCACATTTTTGATGTGCTTTTATGTGTGTGTGTTACCAAATGCTGAGCCACCAAACTTAATGGCTCTATAATCCCACTGTGTTTGCTTAGTTACCAGGTAGAAAACTAGTGTCATCAGCTGTTTCTCCCAGCATCATATCTCAAGAGGATCCTTCTCAGCAGTTCCTGCAGCAGAGCCTTGAAAGAGTGTATACTCTTCAGCACCTGGACCCTCAAGGAGCCCAGGAGCTGCTGGAATTCACTATCAGGTAAGGTAATCATTCCTTCATCTGACAGAATTAGTGCTATTACACTCAGCTTGACTGTTCTGAATTTTGGTGTTGGTTACTAGGCTTGATATTCTTACTCTGTTGGCCTACATTCACATATGGTTTTATGGTCTGTTTATATTTGGATTAGATTGTGGTTTGAGCATATTTTTTAAAGAGAGCTCTTTATATTATTGACTCGATCATTAGTACACAACAGAAATAGTTACAAACAACCTGTTTTTAGTTTTTTAATTTTAAATATTAGGATGAGTGACCGAAAGGCAAAATAACAGTGGCTAAAACAGGAACAAAGTTTAATTCTTTCTCATAGGCGGACAGGGCTGAGATGACCATGAGGAATCTAGGCTCGCTCATTCTTTTTTTTTTTTTTTTTTTTTTTTTTTTTTTGAGACAGGGTCTTGCCCTGTCACCCAGGCTAGAGTGCAGTGCCATAATCTCAGCTCACTGCAACTATAGCCTCCTGTGCTCAAGTGATTCTCCTACTTAAGCCTCCCAAGTAGCTGGAACTACAGGCATATGCCACCATGCCTGGCTAATTTTTTTGGCATTTTTTGGTAGAGTCAACGTTTCTCCATGTTGCGTAGGCTGATCTCAAACTCCTGAACTCAAGCAATCCTTTCACCTCAGCTTTCCAAAGTGCTGGGATTGCAGGTGTGAGCCACCACCACCGGCCTAGGCTTATTCTTTCTTGTGTTTCCATCTTCTACATCAAGCAACCTGTATTTAACAATCCAAAATCTATTATCCCCCCTGTATTCCAGCCTTTGGGGAAAAGGAAACAGGAAGAGAAAGGTATCATCTTCACCCTGCAGTTTTTTAGACACGTCCCAAAAGTTGTACCCTCTAATATTACTTGCATTCTGTTGACTAGAACTTAAGTCACATGGCCATATCTCACTTCAAGGAGCGAGGACATAAACCCTCGGTGAATAATGCCTGGTTTACATGTAATGACTCTAATACTCGGGAAGAATTTGAGAAAGATACTGGGGCGGGAAACCAAGGCAAGATGACTGAATAGGAATAGCTCTAGTCTGTAGCTCCCAGTGAGATTAATGCAGAAGGTGGGTGATTTCTGCATTTCCAACTGAGGTACCCAGCTTATCTCATTGGGACTGGTTAGACAGTGGGTGCAGCCCACGGAGGGCGAGCTGAAGCAGGATGGGATGTCACCTCACCTGAGAAGTGCAAGGGCTTGGGGAACTCCCTCCCCTAGCCAAGGGAAGCCATGAGGGACTATGCTGTGAGGGACTGTGCTGTGAGGAATCGTGCATTCAAGCCCAGATACTATGCTTTTTCCATGGGCTTCACAGCCCGCAGACAAGGAGATTCCCTCAGGTGCCTATGCCACCAGGGCCCTGGGTTTCAACCACAAAACAGGTCAGCTGTTTGGGCAGACACCGAGCTAGCTGCTGGAGTTTTTTCATATCCCAGTGGCACCTGGAAGACCAGTAAGACAGAACCTTTCAATCCCCTGGAAAGGGGGCTGAAGCCAGGGAGCCTAGTGGTCTAGCTAAGTGGATCCCACCCCCATGGAGCTCAGCAAGCTATGATCCACTGGCTTGAAATTCTTGTGGCCAGCACAGCAGTCTGAAGTTGACCTGGGGAGCTCAAGCTTGGTGGGGAGAGGTGCATCTTCCATTAGTGAGGGTTGAGTAGATGGTTTTCCTCTCGCAGTGTAAACAAAGCTGCCAGGAAGTTTGAACTGCACGGAGCCCACCACAGCTTGGCAAAGCTGCTTTAGCCAGACTGCCTCTCTAGATTCCTCCTCTCTAGGCAGGGCATCTCTGAAAGAAAGGGAGCAGCCCTAGTCGGAGGCTTATAGATAAAACTCCCATTTCCCTGGGACAGAGCACCTGAGGGAAAGGGCAGCTGTGGGTGCAGCTTCAGTGGACTTAAACATTCCTGCCTGCCGCCTCTGAAGACAGCAGTGGATCTCCTAGCACAGTGCTCAAGTTCTGCTAAAGGACAGACTGCCTCCACAAGTGGGTCTCTGACCCCTGTGCCTCCTGACTGGGAGACACCTCCCAGCAGGTGTCAACAGACACCTCATACAGGAGAGCTCCAGCTGACATCTGGCAGGTGCCCCTCTGGAATGAAGCTTCCAGAGGAAGGAACAAGCAGTAATCTTTACTGTTCTGCAGCCTCTGTTGGTGACACCCAGACGAATAGGTTCTGAAGTGAACCTCCAGCAAACTCCACCAGAGTTTATTAGTTTTCTGTTTATTAGTCTGCAGCAGAGGGGCCTGACTGTTAGAAGGAAAACTAATAAAGAGAAAGGAATAGCATCAACATCAACAAAAAGGACATCTACACTAAAACCCCAACTGAAGGTCACCAGCGTCAAAGACCAAAGGTAGATAAATCCATGAAGATGAGAAAAAAACAGTGCAAAAAGACTGAAAATTCCAAAAACCAGAATACCTCTTCTCCATAGGATCACAGCTCACCAGCAAGGAAACAAAACTGGACAGAGAATGAGTTTGATGAATTGACAGAAGTAGGACTCAGAAGGTGGGTAATAACAAACTCCTCTGAGATAAAGGAACATGTTTTAACCCAAAGCAAGGAAGCTAAGAGCCTTGAAAACGGGTTAGAGGAATTGCTAACTAGAATAACCAGTTTCGAGAAGAACACAAATGACCTGATAGAGCTGAAAAACACAGCACGAGAACTTTGTGAAGCATACAAAAGTATTAATAGACAAATTGTTCAAGTGGAAGAAAGGATATCAGAGATTGAAGATCAACTTAATGAAATAAAGCATGAAGACAAGATTAGAGAAAAAAGAATGAGAAGGAACAAACAGAGCCTCCAAGAAACACGAGACTATGTGAAAAGACCAAAAGCTACTCAAAAGTGACAGAGAGATTGGAACCAAGTTGAAAAACACTCTTCAGGATATTATCCAGGAGAACTTCCCCAGCCTAGCAAGATAGGCCAACATTCAAATTCAGGAAATACAGAGAGGACCACAAAGATACTCCTCAAGAAGAGCAACCCCAAGATACATAATTGTCAGATTCACCAAGGTTGAAATGAAGGAAAGATTATTAAGGGCAGCTAGAGAGAAAGATCGGCTTACCCACAAAGTGATGCCCATCAGACTAGCAGTGGATCTCTCTGCAGAAACCCTATAAGCAAGAAGAGAGCGGGGGCCCATATTCAACATTCTTAAAGAATTTTCAACCCAGAATTTCATATCCAGCCAAACTTAGCTTCATAAGCAAAAGAGAAAGAAAATCCTTTACGTCAAGCAAATGCTGAGAGGCCTGCCTTAAAAGAGCTCCTGAAGGAAGCACTAAATACAGAAAGGAAAAACCAGTTCCAGCCATTGGAAAAACATAACAATTGTAAAGACCATCAACACTATGAAGAAACTGCATCAACTAACAGGCAAAATAACCATCTAGAATCATAATGACAGGATCAGCTTCACACATAACAATGTTAACCTTAAATGTAAATGGGCTAAATGCAGACCAGGAGATTCCCTCAGGTGTCAGATTTAAAAACAAATTTAAAACACACAGACTGGAAAATTTGATAGAATCAGGGCCCATTGGTGTGCTGTATTCAGGGGACACATCTCAACTGCAAAGACACATCTAGGCTCAAAATAAAGGGATGGGGGAAGATTTACCAAGCAAATAGAAAACAAAAAGAGCTGGGTTTGCTATCCTAGTCTCTGATAAAACAGACTTTAAACCAACAAAGATCAAAAAAGACAAAGAAGGGCATTTACATAATGGTAAAGGGATTAATGCAACAAGAAGATCTAACTATCCTAAATATATATGAACCCAGTACAGAAGCACCCAGATTCATAAAGCAAGTTCTTAGAGATCTACAAAGAGACTTACACTCCCACACAATAATAGTGGAAGATTTTAACACCCCACTGTCAATATTAGACAGATCAACAAGACAGAAAATTAACAAGGATATTCAGGACTTGAACTCAGCTCTGGACTAAGCAGGCCTAATAGACATCTACAGAACTCTAAACCCCAAATCAACAAAATATACATTCTTCTCAGCACCACTTCACACATACTCTAAAATTGACCACATACTGTAATTGGAAGTAAACTATTCCTCAGCACATGCAGAAGAACAGAAATCATAACAGTCTCTCAGACCACAGTGCAATCAAATTCGAACTCAGGATTAAGAAACTCACTCAAAACTGTACAATGACATGGAAACTGAACAGCCTGCTCCTGAATGACTTCTGGGTAAATGATGAAATTAAGGCAGAAATAAATAAGTTATTTGAAACCAATGAGAACAAAGACAATGTACCAGAATCTCTGGGACACAGCTAAAGCAGTCTTTAGAGGGAAATTTATAGCACTAAATGTCTACAGGAGAAAGTAGGAGAGATCTAAAATTGACACCCTAACATCACAATTAAAAGAACTAGAGAAGCAAGATCAAACAAATTCAAAAGCTAGCAGAAGACAAGAAATAGTCAGCTAAGATGAGAACAGACTGTTGGAGATAGACACACAAAAAAACCCTTCAAAAAATCAATGAATTCAGGAGCTGGTTTTTTGAAAAGATTAACAAAATAGACCACTAGCCAGACTAATAAAGAAAAGAGAGGAGAATTACATAGACACAATAGAAAATGATAAAGTGGAGATCACCACTGATTCCACAGAAATAGAAAATACCATCAGAGAATACTATAGACACCTCTATGCAAATAAACTAGAAAATCTAGAAGAAATGGATAAATTCCTGGACACATACACCTTCCCAAGACTAATCCAGGAAGAAGTCAAATCCCTGAATAGACCAATAACAAGTTCTGAAATTGAGGCAGTAATTAATAGCCTATCAACCAAAAAAAGCCCAGGACCAGACAGATTCACAGCCGAATTCTACAAGAGGTACAAAGAGGAGCTGGTACCATTCCTTCTGAAATCATTCCAAACAATAGAAAAAGAGGGACTCTTTCATAACTCATT